TAATCAAAGTAACTGAATTGTACATGTAGAAATTTTTGAAATGGTGTATCTTTGGCTATGTATATTTTCACCAAAAAAAAAAGGGGGGCCCTCCAAGGCTGAGAAGGGAGCATATTGACATGTCGTGGGGTTGTTAACCAGTGTCATAAAACAATATGTGTACTGACTGTTTAATGAGAAAATATTTGTTCAGTAAACTTTCACCTAAAGTAGAATTAAAAAAAAAAAAAAAACTCCAGCAACCCGGGGCTCCCAAGAATATTTGTTGTAAATCCTAACCCCTGTACCTGTGGATGTGATCCCATTTGGGAATGGGGTTTTTTTGTTGTGTTAAGAGGCCATATTTGTGTAGGGTGTGTCTTAAGCAGTAAGGATGGTCTGGGGTGTGTCTTAAGCAAATCACCTTTGAGATTAAAAAAAATTGCAGATTAGGACAGAGAAGCTAGCAGAGATGGGGAAGATAGATGCCACACCACATAAAGATTAGCAACGAGCCAAGGAATACACTCTGAGGAGACAAGGACCTTTCCCCAGAGCCAACACAGAGAGAAAGCCTTCCCTTAGAGATGGCCCCTAGCCTCCTAAACTGTGAGAATATAAATTTGTTTGTTAAAGCCACACACTTGTGCTATTTCTCTTACAGCAGCAAGAGGTAACCAAGCCAACACCCTTGATTGTTTTCTGTCTCTCTGCTTTATTTAATTTTTTTACTTTTGTTTTTAAAATGATTAAATAAGTTTTTATTTTGGGGTAATATTAGATGTACAGGAAAGTTGTAAAGATGCTACAGAGAGTTCCCATGTACCCCTCGCCCCGTTTTCCCCATTGTTAACATCTTCCATTACTATGGTCTTTTTGTCACAACTCAGGAGCCAACATCCCGATGATCATCATCAGCATCATGATGAACTAAACTCCACACTTATCTGAATTGCATCAGTTTTTACACTACTACTGCCAGTTGCCTTTGAGCTGACTCTGGCTCATGGCGACCTCATGTGTGTCAGAGTAGAACTGCTCCATGGGGTTCTCAGTGGCTGATTTTTCTGAAGTAGATCACCAGGGCTTTTTTCCGAGGTGCCTCTGGGTGGACTCAAACCTCCAACCTTTCAGTTAGCAGCCAAGTGCATTAACCATTTGCATCACCCAAGGAATCCTCACATTGCTAGATTTTATTTAAAAGAATCAGAGAGAGAGAGAAAAATAAAATCTAATCTGTAATTGTAGTAATTTCAAATGGAAAACACAGAGATTCTGTAAGGCACAGTTTTCACAATAATGTCATCCTTTTTGTGTTCCAGGATCCAATTAAAGGTACCACATTGTGTTTAGTTGTCATATCTCCTCAGTCGCCTCTGCTCTGTCACAGTTTCTCTGACTTTCTTTGTTTTTTTATGTTCCTTGACATTCTTGAGGAATATGGTCAGGTGTTCTGTAGAATGTCACCCAGTCTGGGTTTGTCTGATATTTTTCCCATAATTAGACTGGGATTATGGGTTTTTGGAAAGAGTATCACAGAGGCAAAATACCCTTTCCTTGGCCTCGTGTTGGGGTACATGATATCCACATGGTGTCACTGGAGATATAAACCTTCATCACTTACTGTGGAAGAATCCTGATCAAAAGGGGGAAAATGCAGACCAGAATCTCAAATTCTCATGGATTCCAGATTTTCTGGAGCCATGAAAGCTGGATGAACCCCGAAACTGTTGCCCTGAGATTATCTTTAAACCTTAAATCAAGAACATCCCCTGAAGTCTTCTTTAAACCAAACAGTAGTTTAGCTTTATTAGTAAAGAATGTCTGCTTTGAGCATTGTGCTCTTTTAAAGAACCATGTCTGTGGATCAAATTGACAGCAGCAACTTGGAAAGTTAGATAGGAAGCTTAGGGGGCAGTGAGTTTATCTCAGTGGGGGAAGAACAATTCAGAAAAGGAGGATGAGAATGGTTGCACAGTTTAAAGAATGTAATCAATGTCGTTGAATTGTCCATGTAGAAATTGTTGAATTGGTGTATGTTCTGTGTATATTTTCAGCAAAAAAATAAGACAAATTATTTAAAAAACATGTTGAATGAGTATTGGGTATGTTATATCTCTCAGGTGAGTTGGCACAGAAAAATAAGCAGAGGGTTACCTACTATTCTCTAAGCCTTCATTTCTTGATTTGCCAAAGGGGGTTGTTTTGGAATCCTTTGTTATGTGCTGGGATATGAAAGGGCATCAGAAGCTGTAGAGTGCAGCACAGATATGAGAGGTTGTTGGTGCTGTTATCATTCCCTTTTTTTTTTCTCCCATGCTCCTGCAGGTCATTTTTCCAACCCAAGAAGGAGGGCAAAGCAAAGAAGCCAGAGAAGGAGACCTCCAACAGTAGCAGAGAGACAGAGCCTCCCCTGAAGTACGTCATGGGGCTTGAGTGTGGTTGTTTGTTCCTTTGTCAGTCAGAACTCTCTTGGCTGCAAGTGTTAACAAACTCAACTCAAGACATCTCGGGCCCTAAGGGAATTTTTTGACCAGGTAGATCGGAAGTCCAAAAGCAGGGATGGCTTTAGGCATGGCTGGATCCAGGGCCTCAGAGTTGTCTTCAGGGCTCTTGCTTCCACATGTCTTGGCCTCATTCTGGAGCAGACTATCTCTGCTGTCCACTGTAAGTGGAAGAGATCAGTGTTCCCTCTTCCAGCATCCACGTGGCAGATTCTCAGGCAAGGCCTAACTAGGCCTTGCTTGGGTCATAACAATCACCCCTGAACCAATCAACTTGCAGAGCAGGGACTCCAGCTAGATTTAGGTCAGATCCCTAATATGGGACCCTGGGCAAGTAACTCCACCTCCCTGTGTCCCAGTTTCCTCGTGTGTGAAAGGGTATGATAATCTATATCAGTTTTTCTCTGTGGATTCAATGAATTAATCCATGTACAACTGGTAACAGTGCCTGGCTCAGAAGAGGCACTCAGTAAGTGGTAAGAATAAAGTAATAATTTTTTTCAGCCCTCTTTATTTTCACATTTGTCCCTTTTAATAACACTGTATACATGTATATATAGTGTTATTTGCTGTAGTTTATTTTAATTTTTTAAAAAATGCATTAGATCATATACTGTGAATGTTGTTCTTCGGCTTGCTTTCTTCAGTTAACCTTACGACTTAGAGATTTTTTTCTTTTCGTGAACACAGAGGACCCTTGCTCCTTTCACCTTCTGCTTTATGTATCCGTTTTATGCATATATGGTGGAAATTATTTAACATTGCCCTGTTGATGGATATTTAGGTTGTTTCCAATATGTTGCTGTAACAGTCTGTGCTATAATAAGTAGTCTATTTGTGTGTCTCCTTGGGCATGTGTAGAGATTTTTTTTTTTTCTAGCATTGATACCCATATGTGGAATTATCCATGGTAATTATAAACAAAGAGTCCCTGGTGGTTCAACGGTTAGGTGCTCGGCTGCTAGCCAAAAGTTCAGTGATTCAAACCCACCCACCAGCTTCACAGGAGAAAAGACATGGCGATCTGTTCCTGTAAAGATTACAGCCTAGGAAACCCTCTGGGGCAGTTATGTTCTGTCACTTGAGGTTGCTGTGAGTGAGAACCGACTTAGCGGCACCCATAACAACAATTACAATTACAAGTAAGTCAACTCAGAGAATAATAAGTAAAAATTTGAAGTCCTTTCAGTATTCACTCCCAGAGGAACTGTTACCAGTTTGATGCATATCCTTCCATACTTTTTTCCCTATGCATATAAGAGTACATACACCTACCACAGTTATTGACACATAGTAGGTACTCAATAAACGTTTGTTGAATGAATAAGTGTTTCCCTCATTTGCATATCGGATAGCAGGAATGGTCGTTTTGGTCACTTATATCTCTGGTAGCTGGCACAGTGCCTGACCTATAATAGATACTCAATAATACACACCATTAATTTTTTTAGATAACAAAAGCAGAACTATTACGTATGCAAGCTGCCATGCATATACATATATGGAACTTATAGGCAAACATGCGTGTATATATGTACAGGTAGTCTCTGACTTAACAGTGTAGTCACGTTAGGATGAACCACACTTAATGACCGTCCATTGTTGGGTTTTTTGTGTGTATGCATTTCTTATCGTTAGTAATGTATACTACATACAGTATTGCAGCACGTAATTTCTTAATGGCATCGTACCTGTAAGTTTACATGTAATGTTTCCAACCCCGAAAAACCAAAGATCAGATTTATAAAGATATTGATAATAAAAGGCGATAATAATGAAATCTAAAAAAAAAGAAGTATTCAACTTAACGTCGGAACCGGCTTACTACAGAGTCTTTGGAACAGAACCCCATCGTAAGTTGCGGGATACCTATATGTGTTTTTACATTCGTGAAATCATACTATACATATTCTTTTATCTTTTACATATAAAATATATTCACATTCAGAAATTTTTTTTGACATTCATGGAATCATACTGTACATACTAATTTATTCAGCAAATATCTATTGAATATCTTCTCTGTGCCAGGCACTCTTCTAGACCCTGTGGGTTTAGCAGTGAACATGGCCGACTGTCACTCCTCTCACAGACTTCAAAGCCTGCCTTTTTTCACTAAAAACATCTTAGAGCCTGTCTTAGTTTCCTAGGGCTGCTGTAAAAGAAATACCACAAGTGGGTGGCTTTAATGAGCGGAAATTTATTTTCTAACAGTTTAGGAGGCCAGAAGTCTAAATTCAGGGCACTGGCTCTAGGGGAAGGCTTTCTCTCCCTGTTGGCTCTGAGGGAAGGTCCTTGTCTCTTTTTCAGCTTCTTTTCCTTAGATCCTTGGCGATCTTCATGCGGCATGGCATCTATCTTCCTCCATTCATGCTTACTTGCCTCTGTGCCTAATTTGCTCCTTTTAGATCTCAAAAATGATTGGTTTAAGACACAGCCTACACTGATATGGCCTCACTAACGTAACAAACCCTGTTCTCAAGTGGGATTAAATTCACAAGTATAAACCCAAACCCATTGCTGTTGAGTTAATTCCCACTCATAGCGACCCTATAGGACAGAGTAGAACTGCCCCATAGGGTTTTCTAGGCTATAAATCTTTTACAGAAGCAGACTGCCATTGTCTTTCTCCCATGGAATCGCTGGTAGGTTCGAACCACTGACCTTTTGGTTAGCAGCCGCTTAACCATTGCACCACCAGGGCTCCTTTCCACAGGTATAAACCCACTGCCATTGATTCGATTCTGACTCATAGTGACCCTATAGAACAGTGTGGAACTGTCTCCATAGAGTTTGCAAGGCTGTAAATCTTTACGGAAGCAGACTGCCACGTCTTTCTCCCATGGAGCAGTTGGTGGGTTCGAACCACTGACCTTCGGTTAGCAGCCAAGCGGGTAAACACCACGCCACCTCCAACGCATTGTTTTAGGAGGACACAATTGAATCCATAACAGAGGTTCATTTGTATGAGGTTCACTTCATTTTTTGTAGTGACATTTCATAATAACAATGTGCTATTGTTGACCCAGCTAGGATGTTGTTTGCATGCATGTTGGTTTCTTCCTCCAGACTGTAAGCTCTTGAGTACAGAAACCTGTAAAACTCAGCCATGTTCTTACGACCTTATCAACCTTCATCAGCGCACATCTGTCGATGTGGTGCAATGGGCTGTGTTCACGCCTGTCTCCCCCACCAGACTGGGAGCTCCTCAGAGACTGTGTTACTGCTCTAACAGTAACCAGAGTCACAGTGACTTAGCTAAAATCAAAATTGCCTTTTTCTTGCTCATAAAACTCTAAGCTGCGCAGGCAGTTGAGGACAGGTAGGTGGCTCTGTACTACTTGGTTGTTATGGGGCCCAGGTTTCCTCTCTCTTGTTGCTCCAGCATTCTCTAGGGCACTGTCCTCATCTGCATTGTCCAAGCAGGACAGCAAGTTCCAGTTCCAGGGGCAAGACAGCATAGAGGGCAAGCATTAAGTCACTTCCATCCCACTGGCCAGAATTCATCACATGACCATACCTAGGTGCAGGTGAGCCTGGGAAGTATAGTCCCTTGCTGGGCGGCCATGTTCCTAGCTAAAACGCTAAATGCAGGTACTTCTTCTCCATCCTGTAGGGTTGCTATGAGTTGAAATCGACCCTGTGGCAGTCGGTTTGGGTTTCTGGTTTTCTGTGACTAAAAGATCAGCATGGATGATGGAGAGCAGTTTCCTCCCTGGGTAGAGACTCCGTCTGCTCCTCAGCATCACCCATTATAGAGTGGGCTCACAGGAGGCCTCTGTAGACTACCTGGATGGATGGATGATTTAACAAGTGTGTGCTGAGAGTGAACATAATATCATGGAACTGTATGTGGGAAGATTGACGGAATGTCAAATTTTTTTTATATATATTTGTTATTGTTGTGTGCCATTGAGTCGATTGCCAACTCAGCGACCCCATGTGACAGAGTAGAACTGCCCCATGAGATTTCCTAGGCTATAATCCTTACGGGAGCAGATCACCAGGGTTTTCCCCCACGGAGCGGCTGGTGGGTTTAAACCGCTGACCTTTCAGTTAGCCACCAAGCGTTTAACCACTGTAACCAGGGCTCCTTACGTATATATTTATTACGGTTTAGGGAAAAAAAAATATATGCTGAGTAGACACGTAGGGAATGTTCATTGAATGTTTGAAAGGAAAGAATGGAAATGAAAGGAAGTGAAGGAGCTGGAGTGTTCAGGGCAGTGCCCCTGACCCTGCCTGCTGTAACACCCCTTGTCTCTCCTTCCAGGGTGGCGCTGAAGGAGCAGAATGGAGTAGTGCCCGAGAGTGAGTCTCCAGTGAAGAGGCCGGCGAGGAAGGCAGCCCGGGTCCTGGGCAGCGAAGAGGAGGAGGAGGACAGTGCCCCCACCTCCCTCAAAGGCCAGGTAGGCCCCCACCCCTCACGCATTTTTGCAGAGGACATGGAGGAAACCATCATTCCTGTTAGCCTTTGGAACTGAGTGCAGCAGCTGCCCTGGAGGATTCTGGAGACGTTTCCCAGGTGTTGGATGAGTACTGGTTGTCCCTGGAGCAGACAGCGTGGTCTTTGAGGTCCTCAGTCTGCCTCTGGCCTGGCATCTGGGGCGGGCGCCTGACCTGTAATGTGGCAGCTCCCTGTGGCATTCAACTCACAGGGTGGCTGTGAAGGTGGAATGAGTCAGTTCACGTACAGATCTTAGAACAGTGCTGGATACAATATAAGGCTCAGAAATACCTCCCGTCTCTCACGTGGTCAGAGGGTGTTTTAGTTTCTTAGTGCTGCTGTGACAGAAATAGCACAAGAATTGACAGATAGGCTTTTTTAAGCCACAAACTTAGAGGCTTTAAACAACATACGCTTATAATCCTATAGTTCTGGAGGTCAAAAGTCTGAAAACAAACATTTATTTTCTCACAGTTTAGGAGGCTAGAAGTCCAAATTCAGAGCACCGGCTCTAGAGGAAGGCTTTCTGTCTCCGTCAGCTCTGGGGGAAGGTCCATGTCCCTTCTCAGCTTCTGTTCCTCATGGATCCTCAGATCTTCACATGATGAGGCATCCTTCTCCTCTTGTCTGTGCATCCTTGCTTCTGTGCCTAACCTGTTCCTTTTATATTACAATAAGCCATTGGTTTAAGACACACCCCCACTGATATGGCTTCATTAACATAACAAAGAAAACCACGTTCCTAAGTGGGATTTTGGCCACAGGTATGGGGGTTAGGATTTACAGCACATATTTTAGGGGACAAAAGTCACTCCATCACAGGGTTTCCTCTAAATACATCGGATCACTTCCTTCCCTGCTGAACAGTCAGTCACTCAATGCCTATTCACTGGTCTGTGCACAGTGTCCAGGGTGTTCTGCTTCTCAGACTGTTGCTTGCAGTCAGAGCCTGTCACCCCCAGCTCAAGCCCTCCAGCATGTCCATCGCAGGCCAGCGCCAGCCATTGTGAAAGCCTCCAAGGCCCTTCGTGATCCGCCTTGCCCTGCCCACCAAGCCCCCGGCCTCATCCACAGCTTCTCCTCTGCTCACTGGGCCCCAGTTTCTCACACACACCAGGTGGACTCCCACCTCTGGGCCTTTTGCTTTTTCTCTGCCTGAAACCCTCCTTCCTCAGATACACACATGGCTCGATCCCTCACTTTTTGTGGGGCTTTGCTCACATATCCCCTTCTCAGTGATGCCTTCCCCAATTTCCTGCAGTAGTTTCCCATTTACTGCTGTATCACAGACTTAGTGGCTTCAAACAACATTTATTGTCATACAGCTCTGGAGGTCAGAAGTCTGAATGGGTCTCACTGGGCTAAAATCAAGATGTTAGCAGGGTTGTGTTCCTTCTGCAGGCTCTAGGGGAGAATCTGTTTCCTTGCCTTTTCCAGCTTCTAAATGCCCCTTCCTCCATTTTCCATGGCACAGTGGTTAAGCGCTTGACTGCTAAGTGAAGGGTTGGCAGTTCGACCCCACCAAGCAGCTCCTTGGGAGAAAGATGTGGCAGTCTGCTTCCATAAAGATTACAGCCTTGGAAACCCTATGGGATAGTTCTGCTCTGTCTCATAAGATCACTATGAGTATGAGTCCATTTTCCAAGCTAGCAACATTGCACCTCTGACCCGTCTTCCGTCTTCCATCCTTGCGTCTCCCTCTTACTCTCCTCTTCCACTTACAAAGACTTTTGTGATTACGTTGGGCCCACCTGGATTATCCAGGATACTCTCCCTACGTTAAGGTCTGCTGATTAAACCAAACTGGTTGCCCTCAAGTCGATTCCGACTCTTAGTGACCCCGTGTGACAGAGTAGAACTGCCACGTAGAGTTTCCAAGGCTGTAATCTTTACAGGAGCAAACTGCCACATCTTTCTCCCACGGAGTGGCTGGTGGGTTCAAACCGCCGACCTTTTAGTTAGCAGTCGAGCGCTCCACCAGGGCTCCTTAGTCAGCTGATTAGCAGCCTTCTACTTTGCCATGTTGGTGTTGTTGTTAGTTGATTCTGACTCAAGGTGACCCCGTGTGTGAGTAGAACTGCTCTGTAGGGTTTTCAAGGCTGTGACTTTTCTGAAGCAGATCGCCTAACCTGTCTTCTAGGTGCCTCTGGGTGGGTTTGAACCACCAGCTTTTCAGCTAGTAGTGAAGCACTTAACCATGTGTGCCACCCAGGGACTCCAACATATTCACGGGTTCCAGGGATTAGGATGTGGACATCTTTGTGAACTTGGTCTTTGGCCCGAGGCTCTAGGAGCCAGGGAAGGGTGTTGAGAAAGAGAAAGACAGAGGTAGATTTGAGTGTTTGAGATACTGCTTTGGGGCCTGTATCTATCAGAGTCCAAATGAGACATAGAGATTGTGCCAGTGATTTAAACAAAGGGAATTTACTGTACAGAATTGTCAGCTAGGTAGGCAGTTGTGAACGAGGTAATTATTGTTAATTGCAGTCGAATCAGTTCCAACTCATGGTGACGCCATGTGTGAAGAGTAGAACTGTTCCATAGGGTTTTCAAGGCTGTGACCTTTCAGAAGCAGATCTGCAGGACTTGCTTCCAAGGTGCCTCTGGGTGGGTGCGAACCACCAACCTTTCAGCTCATGGTTGAGTGCTTAACTGTTTGCACCACCCAGGAACTCCTCACTAGGTAACTTAAGGGGTAAAAAGAGAACTCTTGAGGTGCCACAGAGGTAGCACCCATAGGCTGTAACCACCACCCTAGGGCTGTGGAGCTTCTGAACCTCAGCCGGTGGTGCTGGGGGTGCCCCGTGGTCCTCAGACTCAGACCTAGGTAGTGGATGCTGGTACTGCTGGCTGTCTGAGGGGGCACCATGTAGCACTGTTGGAAAAATCGTAAATGGATCAGGTCAGCTACAGGAAGACCTACTGTGGCTCCAGTGGTGCAATCCCCCTGTAACGCTCCCGTGTGGGTACTGCCGTACACAGAGCTGGCTGCCAGCCCGTGGCAGGTTTTCAGTCCCAGCACCACAAGGGAAAGGGAAGGAGATGGGCTTGGAGCTGAGAGGCATTTGCTTAACTGACACTCATCCCATTGCCGTCAAGTTGGTTCCGATCATAGCAACCCCTCAGGACAGGTTTCCAAGGCTTTAATCTTTACAGAAGCAGACTGCTGCATCTTTCTCCTGTGGAGCGGCTGGTGGGTTCATACTGCTGACCTTTCGGTTAGCAGCCGTGTGCTTAACCACTGCGCCCCCAGGGACCTGTAAGAATTGATAAGTCAGTAGTTGAAACAACTGAGACACAAAGAACGGTTGCTTAGCAAGCAAGATAGAAATTTATTTCTCTCTCTAATGAGCAGGAAACATCCAGGATTAGCTGGGGTGGCTGTCTCACAGTTTCAGAGGTCCAGTCTGCATCTTTATTGCTGCTCTGTTACCCCTAGATGCCATGGTCCAGGCGGTCCAAGATAGCTCCCTATGATGTCCATGTTCAGGTAGTGGGAAGAGGAGGGCACTCTGCCTTTCAGTGAATCTTATTGGAACCACCCAGGGTGGTTAACATGCTAGGCTGCTCACTGAAACGTAGGAGGTCTAAGCCCACCTAGAGGAACCTTGGAAGAAAGAAGACCTGGCAGTCAACTTCTGAAAAATCAGCCATTGAAAATCCTGTGGAGCATGTTCTACTCTGACACACATAGGGTCGCCATGAGTCGAAATCGACTCGTCAATAACTGGTTATTTGAACCAAGAGTAGTGTACATCTTATCCCCTTAACATCCTATTGGCTAGAACTTAGGCTCATTGACTACACACGTATGCAAGGGAGGCTGGGAAATGTAGTCCTGAGGCCCATGGCCACACCTGGCCACAGGGGAGTCTGAGAAGTGTAGTCTTTAGTTGGACCACTGTATGCCTGTCTAAAAATCAGTTTCTGTAACTTTGGGTAAAAAAGAGCATTGTTACTAGGGTCCATGATGGGGAGAATCTGGGACCATGAAACTACACAGGAGAGTGGAGTGGTGGTCGAGGTGAGAGAGGACAAGGCCTGAGCTGGGGCTGGGGCCATGGGGACAGAGAGGAGAGTTGGGGGCAAAGAGAGGTTTAGAGCCCCCTTTCAACCGTTTGGGAAATGAGATAGCCAGGTGGTCCGTCCTCTCTCCCCTCACTCTAAGATTGCTCTTCTTGCCCCTTCCAGAAACCTGCCCCAGATTCCCCGCGATCCTCCCCTCCCAGTCCTGCCGCATCTCCAGAGAGCATCCCTTCCCTTTCCGACGCCTGTCCCATGGAAATCTCCCCGTCAGGGATCCCGAAGCGTCGCACAGGTGAGGACCCAGGGCTGTGTCCTTCAGCCGCCCGTCTCTCTCACACTTTGGCCTCTGCACCAAATGGCGAGTCTTAGGACAGCTTTGACATTGGTATTGCAGTTAAGAGCCCGGCTCCACCCTTCACTGGCTGTGTGACCTTGGGCAAATTACTTACCTTTTCTGAGGTTTAGTTGCTTTATCTGTAAAACAGAGATGGTGATATTTAAAGTACCTACCACAAAGCGAATGAGGTAGTGGTGGTTCTGTGGTAGAATTCTTGCCTTCCACATAGGAGACTAGGGTTCAATTCCCGGCCAGTGCACCTCAAGTGCAACCACCACCCATCTGTCACTGGAGGCTTGCGTGTTGCTATGATGCTGAACAGGTTTCAGTGGAGCTTCCAGACTAAGACAAACTAGGAAGAAAGGCCTGGTGATCTACTTCCGAAAATCAGCCAGTGAAAACCCTATGGATCACAGTGGTCTGATCCGCAACCAATCCTGGGGATGGCTCGGGACCAGGCAGCATTTCATTCCATTGTGCATGGAGTCGCCACGAGTCGGTGTTGACTTGACGGCAGCTAACAAGGGCCACAACCACAAAGAGATGTGAGGATTCAAGGAGTTAGTGCGTGTGAAATGCTCGGCACGTGCCCAGCCCATAGGAAATGCTCAGTCACTGCTGGTTATTGGGATGGTTACTGCGTGCAGTGATGAAGACGGCACAGCTCACCATGGGTGAGGGGGAAGGGTCCCGGCTTGAGGGGACTTCCTGAAAGAGGTGTTAGCTGAGCCGAGCCCTGAAGGACAAGGAAGAGTCAGGAGGGAAAGGGGGAGGGAAGAGTGTTCTAGGCAGGAGGACAGTATGTGTTGAGAAGGACCTTCCAAAAACCCAAACCAAACCTGTTGTCCTCGGGTCGATTCCAACTCATGGCGACCCTATAGGACAGAGTAGAACTGCCCCATAGGTTCCCAAGGCTGTCATCTTTACAGAAGCCGACTGCCACATCTTTCTCCTGAGGAATAGCTTGTGGCTTCGAACCACCAACTTTTTGGTTAGCAGCCCAGTGTTTAACCGCTGAGCCAGCAGGGCTCCTTTTGAGGAGGGACGTGTGTGGGGATGCCTCGTGGTTCAGTGTGCTGGTGCACAGAGTGCAGGATTGGGGAGAGCAAGCGATGAGGCTGGAGAGGGTCCCCGGGAAGTCAGTCTGAGGAATAGTACCTTTGTCCTGAGGGTGATAGGGTGAGAGACCCATACATAACATAGGGCGATACCAGAGTGTACTGTCCAGTACCGCCACCATCAGCCACATGTGTCTGCTGAGCACTTGAAATGTGGCCAGTGTGACTGAAGAACTGAATTTTAAATTCTCTATAATTTTAATTACATTTAAATTTGAAAGCTGATTTTTGATTCAGCTATTAAAAACTTTCAAGTTATGTTGGGAACAACTTGGATATGTAAATCTACTTTTTTGTGAATTTCATGACATCTAAACACAGGTCAAATATTTTCAATGAACATGTAGTCTAGATTGATATGTGCTGTAATTATAAAATACACAACAGATTTCGAAGGCTTCAGAGAATGTAAAACATTTTATTAATAAGGTCCCTGGGTGGCACAAACAATTTGCACTCAACTACTAATTTAAAGGCCGACGGTTCAGATCCACCAACAGCACTGCAGAAGAAGGTCCTAGCGTTCTTATTCCGTAAAGACTACAGCCAGGAAAACCCTGTGGAGCACAAGAGGTCACCATGATCCAGAATCTACTTGATGGCAACGAGTTTGGTTTTTTCCCTACTAACTGAAAGGTTGGCGGTTCAAATCCACCCAGTGGCGCCATGCATAATAATTTATTTTAATATTGGTAGTGTGTTGGAATGATAATATCTTGGATATATTGGGTTAAGTAAAATATATTATTAAAATTAATTTCACCCAGTTTTTTTTTTCCTTTTTTTTTTTTTTAACATGGCTGCTGTTGTTGTTGGTTGCTGTCAAGTCAATCCCTACTTATGACGACCCCATGTGACAGAGTAAAACTGCCCCATAGGGTTTTCTAGGCTGTCATCTTAATGGGAGCAGATCACCAGGCCTTTCTTCTGAGGAGCTACTGGGTGGGTTCAGAGCACTAACCTTTTGGTTAGTAGTCAAGTGTAAACCATTTGCGCTCCCCAGGGACCTTAATGTGGCTACTAGAAAGTTAAATATTATGTACGTGGCTCTTTGTATATTTTCATTGGATGGCACTGGTATAAGAAATAATAGTGGTATAAGTCAGACACAAAAGGACAAATATTGTATGACCTCACTTATCTTCATAGAGACAAAAGATTAATAGTGGTTACCAGGGACTGAGGGAAGGGGGAAATGGGGAGTTATTGAACATCATGGTGAATGTAACTAATGACACTGAATTGTACTCTTAAAAATGATAAATGGCAAATTTTGTTATGTATATTTTGCCACAATAAAATTTTAAAAAAGAAAGAAAGAAAGAGTAGTGGTAATGCAGAGTACCATAGGAGCTCAGAAGGCAGCAGCCCAGAGTAGGTGATGTCTGAGCTGAGTCTGGGAGATGGGTGAGGGTTGGCCATGATGAGAAGTCATAAATGGGAGGGTGTTCCAGACAAGAATAGCACGTGCAAAGGCCCTGAGGTGGCAACAGCCTGGCACGTTTGGGGAACCACATACGATTCAGTGTTTCTAGAGAATGAAGTATGCTTCAGGGAGCAGGGAGAGTTTTGCACTTGGGGTGTGGTAAGAAATGAGGTAGGGAAGAGAATGGGAGGTTTTTGAGCAGGGCAGGGACAGTGCCAGCCATCACGGATAGAAGTCCCTCTGGGGCTGGGCAAAGGACCCACCAGGGGCCAGAGACCAGGGAGGAGGCCGTACAGTGGTCTGGGTGAGAGCTGACAATGACAATGACTATAAAAAAAACAACCAATTGCTGTGAGTCGGCTCCGACTCATGGTGACCCCCATGTATGTCAGATAAAACTGTGCTCCATAGGGTTCTTGGTGGCTGGTTTCTCAGAAGTAGATCGCCAGGCCTTCCTTCTAAGGGGCCTCTGGCTAGACTTGAACTTCCCACAGTTCAGTTAACAACTGAGCTCATTATCCATTTGTACCACCCAGGGACTCCCGAAAATGGCTATCGTTGGGCTTTTATGGACTTCTTCACCAGGCGTTAGTGTCCCAGTTTGGGGTCTTCTAGAAGCAGACTGTGAAACAAGGACCCCACTGCAAGCTGTGCTGAAGTCTAGTTGTATGACAGGCATTTTATCATAGTTTTTTCATCTAAAATGTATTTTTAGTACTTTTTGGTGCTTTCTAAGACACTGTCTGAGGAGCCCTAGTGGTGCAGTGGTTAAAGCACTTGGCTGCAAACCAAAAGGTCAGCGGTTCAAACCCACCAGCTGCTCCACAGAAGAAATGTGACAGCTTCCATAAAGATTACAGCCTCAGTTGTACTCGGTCTTACTGACTTGATGACAACGAGTTTTTAGACTGTCTATTGGAAAAAGTAGGAAAACTGTGTTTAAGTCACCTAGTTGTGATAGAGACACACTATGTAGTTTTTTGTGTGTGCATGTAAAAAAATGTGTTTAGAGCTTTTTGTTGGTTGTAACACTCTGTCTAGTGGCATTCGTGGAAAAACTTGGGAGGTGCAGGGAACATGGGCGGGGGGAAGGGAGGCAGCCGGAAAAGGATGTTATCAGGCCAGCTTCCACAGTGGGCCCCCAGGGAAACTGTCGGGAAAGTGGGGGGCGGCGTAAGTGTGAGCCTCAGAATTACCCCCCCAAGGGGCGAGGGAGCTGGATGTTTATGCACCAACTCCCCTCAGTCGTTGGTGGAGGGCAGCTCGCAGGGCCTGTTCCCTCCTTGCCTTTTAAGGCCTTCTGAGGTTCCAGAGATGCTGAGAGGGTGAGATTCCAGGGATGCGGGCGGTCCGCTGAGAGCATCTGCTAGACTCAGGTGCTGTGCCAAACACATTATGTCACGATCTACTTTTTGGGACGGTTTCCAGTCTGCAGATACGGTGAGTAAGGCACAGAGAGGTTAAGTAGCCTGCTTAAGGTCATGCAGGCAGGAAGCAGCAGAGCTTGAAGGACGAGGCCTGCGTAGGGCTGTGGCCATGGGCAGGCAGGGAAAGGCCAGGAGTCCAGAGCCTTCTCAGGGCCCCATCAGTGGGCCTGAGCTCCTTGGGGTGGGGCAGGCAGACCAGTGGGGTCAGCTACAGGGACCCCCTTTCTTTCATAGCTCGGAAGCAGGTCCCGAAACGGAAAATTCAGGATGCCCTGGAAGAACAGAGTGAAGACAAGGAAAGAGAGACCAAGAGGAAGAAGGAAGAAGAAGGTAAGGGATGATGGAGGAGCGAAGTGTGTGCGTGTACGAATCTGGAAGGATGGGGGCATATCTAAGAGCACAGGATGTTTGGACCCCACTGGTTTTCCCCTGTGCCCATGAATCTAAACATGTTAATCAGAATTCTACAAGCCAACCCAGGAATTTTTGTTATGAGTCCATTTTGGAATAAATTCGTTTGGCCACATTGATTTGATATTAATTCATATACAGTTTGTAGTTTTTATCTTTTATCTTTACATTTATTTTATGGAAAATATTTTCCTCTCAGTGATTTTTTTCTCCTTGTAAACTTTACCACAGAGCAGAGGCTCCCAGGCTTTCTTGGTTCATGGGGCCGTTAGTCTTTTACCCGTTTTTTATGGCTCCTCTAGGCCAATTCCTAACAGTTTTTTTTTTATTTTTTTATTTTTTTTATTGTACTTCACGTGAAGGCTTACAGAACAAATAGTTTCTCATGAAACAGTAGTACAAATATTGTTTTATGACATTGGTTAACAACCCCA